AAACATAAAAATAAAATATTATAAAAATCTAATCATTTCATTTTACTTTCATTCTAATATATATTCAATCTTATCACATCCCCAATTTCTTGTGGATCCAAAGAAAGTGATAATGGTGTATTGCTTATGAATAGACAGCAATTGATATGGTTTCACACTTTTATTCTAATCAATAATGATTCATCCCCTTTTCTCCCCACTCCCTTTGACCTCCTCTCCCCACTCCCTTTGACCTCCTCTCTCTCTCCTTTGTGACATTTTTTTTTTTTTTTTTTTTTTTTTTTTTTTTTTTTTTTTTTTTTTCTCCCCCTCCCCCCCCCCCTCAAAAAAGGAGTCCCAAACATTATTCTATTCTAATATATTCTCAAATCTTATCACATCCCCACTTTCTTGTGGATCCAATAAAAGTGATAATGGTGTATTGCTTATGAATAGACAGCAATTGATGTGGTTTTGCGGAGAAGGGTACTGCTATGCCTTGAGTCATAGTAATTATTGTTGCTCTGCAGGTCTTTTTAAATGTTTTTTTTAATAATTTAAATTGTTCGGAGAAGGGTACTGCTATGCCTTGAGTCAACATATTTAATCAATTTAATTTTTTATATAAATAATTTATTTAATAAAATTTATAATATAAACAATTTAAATTATTAAAAAAAAAAAATACTTGAAACAATCTCATACAAGAGTCACAACAGTAACTGCTCAGCAGTATCCCTCCTGGTGTCCGCCAAGAATTCTTTAGAGTATTTTTTTTCTAAAGTTTCCTAAAGTGGTGTATTGTGTGGTTGAGATTTAATACTGAAAAATTGATGTAACTTGTCATTAAATCTCAACCACACAATACACCACTCTAAGAAACTTTCAAAAAAAAAAACTCTAAAAAATCCTAACTCCTTGGTGTCAGCCACTTTAGTACAGAGCACATGATCACGACAAATTCAATTTAAAGCTTCTTATTATGATTTGACTTGTCATTCCTTTTAGCACCATGTGATCTCTGCATTCCAAACGATTTAAATGAAATTTTGTCTAAGCTTGGGTGTAAAGTTTTCTTGTTCAAGACATGGTGGTAGTTGTGCCAAATCAGAAAACCATCACATTAATTTTAAGGAAAATAACAAATAAGTGGCTTTTAATTTTTTTTTCAGATTAATGATAAATTTTAATAATTAAAATTATAAATATTTTTATAATTCTGATTTATAATTTCCCCTTAATTCTAAGCCAATAGGTCGAAAAGCAATTTTAGGACTCATTCTTTGACATTTGAAAGAAGTGACCACAAGATCATCCCCACGTTAACATAACATGATGAACTGTGACTCATAGCTATCTCATCCTGGCGCAAGGCAGTTATAATCAATTTTTTGATTAAAAATTATTTATAATTAATTTTTCTTATAAGAGAAAAAGTAGGTTATAATTCGAGAAGCGGATTGTAATCCATTTTCTAAAAGGGGCCGGAGTAGCTATCCCTTGCGTTGTGTCTCTGAATTTTGTCTAAAAATTAGAGCTTCTAAATAATTTTATGTTTCATATTATATTTGATTTATTGAAATAAAATGTTTAAAATAATTATTTTATCATAATATTCATTTTTATATTTGATTACTCAAAAAATGATAAAAAATATATATATCACGTATGGAATCATTATTTATCATTGTGATGAAATAATCATTCTGTACAAAGGTTTAAAAATAACTATTCAATTTCATTTTAATGAAACAAACACTATAGTTTTACTAAAAAATTTAAATAAAAAAAAAGGACGAATTACACTAACCGTTCCTATAATTTGGGACTCGTGTCACTTTGATCATTAACTTTTTAATTGTGATACATTTGACTCTGAATTTTAAATCTTGTTTCAAATAAGGATAATTGAAGATAATATTGCTCAATTTCAAGAGCAACATTGTCAATTTGATAAAATATAAACTAATTTGACAAAAATAAATGTCAAAAAAATATTTTTAAATTTTTAAAAATTATTTTTGCCCACCAAAAATAATTATGTAAATTTGATAAATCTTTTACACATTTATTTATTTATTTTTATCAAATTAATTTTTATTATGTGTTTTGGATGATGATTATGTAATGGTTAGTCGTTTATTTGATGCTTTTTGATAGTTATCGTGTAATAGATGGTTGTATTTGTTGTTAACAAATATTTTTAGATGATTCATGTAATGATAGTTATTAGGCTTTTAATGTGTAATCGATATATTGAACATATGAAATGTTTTTAGTTTTGGATTTTTTTCATTTAATGGATTGGTTTAATTATGATATCAAAGTTGTCGCCATATTTGACTTTTGAAAAATAGAAACTAATTTAATGAAAATAAAAATAACCACCCATTATATGATCATCATCCAAACAGATAGTAAAAATTAATTTGTTAAAAATAAATAAATAAATATGTAAAAGATTTATCATTTTGATATAAGTTTATCTTTGGTGGGTATAAATAATTTTTAAAAATTAAAAAATAATTTTTTGATAGTTATTTTTGTCAAACTAGTTTATATTTTATCAAATTGACCATTTTGTCATTGAAATTGAGCAATGAATTTTTAATTGTCCTTATTTGAAACAAGATTCAAAATTAAAGGTCAAATGTGTTATAATTAAAAAGTAAGGGATCAAAGTGTCACAAGCCCCAAACTATAGGGACCATTAGTGTAATTTGCCAAAAAAAAAATTAAAGTGGTGAAATATTTAAATGTTGTGAATGATTGTTTGTCAAATGTGTGGATTGATAATATTTTTACATTCAATCAGTCCTATAAAAAAATGAATAAATAAATAATATTATCCATATTGAAGATATCCAAAATCTATTACAGTAATTTTGACAAAAATGTTTTGGAGTTCTAATTTGTGAGCTCTAATAGCTCTAATGTGTGTGTGGGGGCCATTTGATGTGATGTTTTGACAATTTTTTTTAATTTTTTTTTTTAATTATCCACCTCCCAAGAGCTCAATTAGAGCTCTAATTTTAAAGGAATGTATCATTGTTGTAATTTTGATCTACGTCTCTCGACAACTATAATTTATGTTAACAATAGAAATCATATGAAATTGCTCAGAAAATATAATATTATATTTATTGTAAAAAAAATTAGAGTTAATTGCCTAAAAATCCTATTTACAAATGTTATGGTAGCTCAGGTCTTATCTAAAATTTTTTGAACCAATAAGTCCTATTTAGTAAAACTGAAAATATTGTCAATTTTTCACAATTTTTAAAATTAAGAATATTATCAATTTTGCATAGTAATATTTTAGATAATTATTTCACTAACTGATAAAAAAAAGGAGCATGAAATTAAATGTTTTTGCCCTTGTACTTATTGGTTTGATTCGACTATCTAATAAAATCGAGAACATTATCAGTTTTTTTATTTTAATTTTTTTTCCAATTTTGCACATCAATGTTCCATCATCATGCTCCTTTTATAGACACAAAATTTTTAATTTTGCACAAAAAAATTCAAAATTTTCAATTTTTTTAAATTTTTTTTGCACATAATTTTTTTTTTTTTTAGTTTTTTCAATTTGAAAGTTGATAGTTTAAAGTTTTGAAAATCAAAATAAATGTCAAATCATTATGTTCCTTTATAGATAATCATAAACGATAAACAATTATTTTTTTGAAGGGTTATTCCAACTATTAAAAATTTAATAAGATTTGAAGGTCTAAAAAAATCTTAATTAGTACTTAATAGAGTATAAATTCATAAATTAAAACTTGTGTGTAAATGTTTCCAAAAATTATAATTGATTCACTCATTAATACAATATTTTTAAATATGATTTATTACCTAATATTTTAAGTAAAAAACTATTTATACATAAAGTCAAGTTTTATATTAGTAGAGAAGGGAAAAGAAAAAATACCTATATAATGGCCTCATTGTTTTAAGCTCGCCCTGGGCTTCCTAAACGTCAGAACCGATCCTGTGTGTATTATTACTCAACACTAACTTGTCAACTGCCTTGGCCTTTGGAAAGTTAAGATTTTTGTTAAAAAGTTATTATAAATTATTATTTTTAATTTTTTAAAATAATTAATTTTCAAATGAGTTTTAGAAGTATTTTTGAAATCTATAATATGTAAACAATTCTAATATTTGAATTTCTACCGACTCATCATGACATTTAGTACAAAATCTTATAAGCCTCCGTTTGGGAAGTGGGTTAGTTTTTTACCTTTTTAACTTTTTTGACTATTTTAGCCTGGGCTAAAAAGTTTGGTTTGGGAAGAGCTTTTTAACTTTTTGACTTTTTTAACTTTTGTTGTGAGAGAAGAATGTAATGATTATGGGTTGGATATGATATTTTATTTTTTGTGGCTAAAATAGCCTATTTTGTCTTTTGTGGCTAAAATAGCCAAAAAAAATTAATTTTCAAATGAGTTTTAGAAGTATTTTTGAAATCTATAATATGTAAACAATTCTAATATTTGAATTTCTACCGACTCATCATGACATTTTTAGTACAAAATCTTATAAGCCTCCGTTTGGGAAGTGGGTTAGCTTTTAGGTTTTTAACTTTTTTGACTATTTTAGCCTGGGCTAAAAAGTTTGGTTTGGGAAGAACTTTTTAACTTTTTGACTTTTTTAACTTTTGTTGTGAGAGAAGAATGTAATGATTATGGGTTGGATGTGATATTTTATTTTTTGTGGCTAAAATAGCCTATTTTGTCTTTTGTGGCTAAAATAGCCAAAAAAGTCCCGTTTAACTCTTGCTAAACGGAGCCTAAATATCTTCTAATGTACACAAGTGTTGATTAAGCTTGAATATTTTGCTTTTCGTAAGAATTGAAATTGGAACCTCTAAAAATTACTCTAACACGAAGTTTTCATGTTAAACCCCTTAAGCCACTCATGCAAGTTAAAATAGAAATATAATAATAATAATAATAATAATAATAATAACAAAAAACACTTCCTTCTTTTGAGCTATGTTAGACAACAATTTCATATTTTGCAAATTCTCTGGTCCTTTTCCATTCCTTTGTACACAAAACAAGTCACAATCTCAATTCGAAAGCATAAAAGCATTTAAATAAAAATAATAAAAACAAAACAGAAGCAAAATAGAAGTGTTACATGAAAGCTCCTGTAGAGCGGGTTAGCGCTTGCATTTTAGGGAAATTATTCAATAATCCCGAAATATCACGTGATCATATTCTAAGCCACCAATTACTTAATTCTATGTTGTTCCCATATTCCCTAACATAAATCGTAGGCCCCTACTACGCTCTACCAATCAAAATTTTATGGAGCACGACGTCTACATATTTCGGAAATACTGAATAATCACCCTGTATTCCACTAACCTTAAAAAAAAGAAAAAAAAAAGAAGTTCCAAAAAAAAAGGAAAAAAATTAATAAAAAATGACAAATATAACCCTGTCTTTATGCATGGCAAGTAGGCCCTGCTTCCTCCAATTCAATACCCACCTCAGCAAGCCTCTTTTCCTTGTACACATACCATTTAGCACTAACCAAATACAATATCAAGTTCACCACACTCAATATTGCCAACAACCAATAAAAATTATAGAGCCTCCCTTGGTTTAGATTATCAGCCAACCATGGCTTTTTGTTCCAAGTCAATTTATGCACCATACTAACCAAAATAGAGCTGGTGAAAAACCCTAGTGAAAGTGTGCTCAAGAATAACCCTGTGCTCATTGTCTTCATCCCTTTAGGGCACTCCCTTAAAAAAAAATCTAGCTGCCCAATATACGTAAATGCCTCGCCGGACCCCACTATTAAGAACTGTGGGACTAACCAGAATACGCTTAGGGGAACCACGGCTGTTGGATCGTTTGTCAAGCTATGCAATTGAGCCACATGTAACCGCTTGATTTCGCCTAGAGCTGCAGCCACCATGGCAAATATTGATAGAACTAGACCTACCCCGATGCGTTGCAATGGGGTGAGGCCTTCTGGGTTCTTAAGCAATTTTCCAGCGATCGGATTGATGATCCGGTCGTATACTGGAACGGTGAGGAGAATACTGCTGACGAAGAAAACAGTCAGTGAGGCTGGAGGGATCTGGAATGATTTGCCGATGTGGCGGTCCATGGTGGTAGCTTGTGAGACTGAAAATGTGGTCATTTGAGCATAGATTGTCCAGAACATAATAGTGGTGGCCCAAATAGGAAGCATTCTAATCACCAACTTTACTTCCTCCACATCTGTTAAAGTTGAAATGTACCATTTATTCATCGCAGTGAAGTCACTAGACATTTCAGAGTCCTTGATGGCTGCTTTGTTTTTTTTTAAATCTTTTTCAAAAAAAAAAAAAAAAAAAAAAAAGCCATAAGAGATCATGAGAATTTGACAAAAATCAAACAATTATGATTGAGACGACTAAAAAAATCAACCACTAATAATTTTAATGAGCTGAGATATGTTAAAAAAAATAATAATAATAGAGACAACCATTACATTAAGACCATGTTTGTTTGGGCGGAATGAATTAGCATTCTCATGACTAATAGTTCTAGGACTATGAATTCGTTGAATTATGTATCCTATCTTAACAAATAGTCAAGTTTAAAATAATTAATCCGTACTTTAACGTCATGTTTGTTTGGGTGGACATGAGCTTGGGATTGGACTAATAGTCCAATAAAATTATTAATCCGATGTTTGGTTAAACAATTGAAGTACGCACTAATTATTTTAAACTTACTATTAGTTAAGATAGGATACATAATCCAACGGATTCGTAGTCTTAGGACTATTAGTCATGGGAATGCTAATTCAGTCCGCCCAAACAAACATGGCCTAATTGTTTAACCAAACATGAGATTAATAATTTTATTGGACTATTAGTCCAATCCTAAACTCATATCCGCCCAAACAAAGATGACCTAAGGAAAGAGCTAACTTATTAAGCCTCTGTTTGGCAAGATGGTTTTCAGGCTTTTTTGGCTATTTTAGCCACAAAAAACAAAATAGGCTATTTTAGCCATAACAAACAAAACATCACATCCAACCCATAATCATTACATTCTTCTCTCACAAAAAAAGTCAAAAAAGTCAAAAAGCCAAAAAGTCCTTCCCAAACCAAGCTTTTTAGCCCAGGCTAAAATAGCCAAAAAAATCAAAAAGTCAAAAAGCCAACCCACTTCCCAAACGGAGGCTTAGTATTCTTCTTAATAGTCTCTTTTTAGTACTCGCAAGTATTAATTAAAATCAAAAGACATGAGAGATTATGACAATTTGACAGTTACAATTCATAACAGTGCTGTGATCCACTTTTTCTAATTATAGACTCTGATGACATGGGTTTGCAAGATAAAAAGAGTCAGTACAAAGGCATGAACTGGTTTTGGGAGTTGTGTAAGGGGGAGGTGGCAAGTGAATAATGCACAAAGACAAAAAAACAAAGTGATTGGCTGACAGACGGACACATACAGACTTTTGGTTCACTGTCTCTCGTGATCTTTTATTCGTTTGGGTCACATTGATTCATATGACTTCATATCCACACTCATATCATATATAATTATTTGTTTTTTTTAAATTATTTTAACTTGATTAAAATAATTATATTTAAAAAGTTAATTAATTTTTTTAATTAATTTAATAATTATAAATTAAATATAATATTTTATTTTATTAATTATTTTAATTTATTTTATTTTATTTTTTAATAAATTATTTTAATTAAACTGTCATATCAAACACCCCAATAACAAGGATAAGCCCATTATAAAAATCCAAACAAGAAAATAAATAAAAAGCATCCCCAACCCTAACACCCAACAACAACCCCAGACAAAAAGAAATGTCATTATCATCGTCATGAAAAATGTATACTTTTTAAGTTACATCAAACAACCTAGTTGATTTTTGTGTATACCTCATAATGTTTAGTACAATCTTGCTTATAATTTGAAATCTTATATATCATGAAATAAATATTATAAAATTAATTTTAAAATGATTGTATAACATATAATAAAATATTTAAATCAATTTAATGATAAAATTTTTTTTATGAAAGTTTTTCATAATAATTTCTTCATAATATCTAATATTACTGATAGGAGACATAGAGCTTCAGGCACTATTTGATGTCCCATATAAAAGTATATATTTTTTAAAAAAAGATTTTAGTCGCATTACATCTCTATTTTTTTTTTATACATATCCTTTCATAAAAAGTTAAAAAGAATATTTATTTAAATCATCCCAAATACTCTCTAAAGTATATATTTTTTTAAAAAAATTTTAGTCGCATTACATCTTTATTTTTTTTTATACATATCTTTTCATAAAAAGTTAAAAAGAATATTTATTTAAATCATCCCAAATACTCTCTAAATAAATTTTAAAAAAAAAAACTAATTTCTAAAAATTGGGTGAAAATGTTTTTGTCTTTTTTCAATCAACTTCTAATTTTATAATAAGTTGTGTCAAACAATATCAAAGTAAGTAATTATTCTATGGATATGTGGGTATGAAAATCTCAAGGGTTTGGTTTAGTGGGAGAAAAGACAACTAAAAGGACTTACCACCTAAAAGTTCACATGATCGAATTCTACAAAGGCTAAACATCCCAAACTTTGTAGTCATTGGGTTTGTTTTGGGATGTGGGCTGACTTTTGATTATTTTAGTCTGTAGTTAAAAAGTCTCGTTTGTAATTGACTTTTTAATTTTTTTAACTTTTGTGAGAGAAAAAATAAAATGATTATGGGTTGAATGTGATATTTTGTCTTATTGAACTAAAAAATCATTTGTCTTTTGTGGCTATTTTAACCAAAAAGTCTTTTGGCTTCTTTATGCCAAACAAGTTCAATAAAAATTTGTATGATTGTTAATTTTAAGATTCTGAAATTAGTTGAAGTGTGCGTAAATTAATCTGGACGTTCGATTATAAAAAAAATAAAATAAAATCATGGTATGAATATGGGCATGTGAGTGGTTGGAAAAATTATCACAAGATAAACTGATCTGGACACCCGATTATAAAAATAAAAAATAAAATCATGGTAATAATATGGGCATGTGAGTGGTTACAAAAATTATCACATAAGTGCCTCATATATCCTACATAATATGCTCCTGTAATCCTACCAGTTACATATTCACTAATTTTTATTTTTTTCTTATATATTACATAAAACAATCAATATAATTAAAAGTACACAAGACTTAATTAAAATTTCTAAAAGACATAATTCTTGGAGTGGTTGATTGAGGCCTCGTTTGTCAATTATATATTTTAGTTAAAAAATTAAAAAATTATTATAAATTATCATATCACTCTCTATTTTTCTGTATTTTTTTTTATAAATAATTAAAAAATTATTAAAATATTATATTTCCAAATGAGTCCTACCATTAAGTTAGCCATCTCCAACATGGCCCCACCATATTTGATCAACCTTCCCAGTGACCATTGTTTAACGGAGCTGATAATAAAGCTGTCTAAAAGCAGCTCCAGTGAGCTGTCAATGTACTAAGAAATAATAATAATAATAATAATATTTAAGAGTTTTAATTTGACAATTTTAATAGAGTTTTAATGATGTGAAGAGTGCCTATATAATGTGAGAGCCCACGCTCCTCTCTGTATCTCTCTCTACTCTTTCTTTCTTTTACCTCATTAGAATTTCCATTAAAATTACTATTTTAAAATTATGTATCAATACTCAAAAAAAAAAAAAATGAAGGAAAGAGACAAAACACACACAAAAAAAAGATAAATTAATGTTATTTTAGAGCACTTGTTTTAGAGTTCTAATACATCTTTCATTGTTTAATGCACATTCCTTTCTGACCCAACATACCAGCCCCAATAATTTTCTGCCTCTGATTGCGTTTTCGTTAGGGACCCATACATACTAAACCCAATAATTTCCTGCGTCAGATGATTGCGTTTTCATTAAGGATTGAGTTTCTCCGATTCTCGTCATCTAGATTGAGGAGCGCCATGCATATTAAAAAAGAGCGTATACAATGCACCATACATACTGTCCTCAATAATTTCTGGGCTTTGATTGTGTTTTCGTTAAGAATTGGATTCTCTCCAGTTCTCATTATCTAGATTTGTCCCCAATAATTTCTTGACTCTGGTTGCGTTTTTGTCAGGGATTGAATTTTCTCTTATTCTCATCATCTAGGTTGAAGAGTCGCTGTTGAAATTTGTGAGACTACTTACTAATCTTGTTTTAATTAGTCAATTCTTTATTTTTTAGAATTATTTTAAAAATATACTTGCAATTTATTATTTTAGAGACAAATAGGAAGAAATTTTATATATTTTAAATTTTGAAAACTTTTTTAATATTTATTTGAGGTACATAATATTGATGATATGTAACTTCATTGTTTAACAAGTATCATTTTGTTAGGAGTGTTTGATAATTGATTTAAAAACTCACATTTCCAAATGTAATAACTTTTGACTAAAAACCCATATTTCCAAACAAAACCTAAGTAAATGAATTGAACAAAAAAATAAAATTCTATGTCATAGTGTATGTAATTATTTATGGAGTGGGCTCGTCTTCAATTGAAGTTTTCACTTGGACGATATTGTCGGTCCTTTGTGGGTCCTCACGAGATTTATTTTAATGATCTAAATTATTTATCATGTAATGTTTTTTGAAAATATGATTCATGCAAAAAAAAATTATATTGATCGGATAACTGCAACTACATGATCTGGTTACTTTATTTTAATGATCTACTCTAAAAACTATATATTTTGTTTATTTCATTTTAAGATAAAATCTTATTTGATTATGTAATTGTGATTATTCGATTAACGTAATTTTTTTAAATAAATGATGTTCTCGAAAGACATTGTAAGATGAATAATTTAGATAATTAAAATGAATCCCGTGATGGGTCTACGGTGGGTCGACAACACCGTCCAGTTGAAAACTTCAACCGAAGAGGAGCAACCTCCATTATTTATTTGTTTCTGAGTTTGCGTATATATTGACTGTGGTTATTAGCTTTGGAAGAGGTTTCTCTCCGGTTCACATAGTGGACTAGGGTGTACTATTGGGCCTATAAGACTCGCCACGAGTCTCATTTTGATAATCTGAAGCGTTTAATGTGCCAATCTCGTTGAGTAAATGGGTAGTGGTGAAGAAAAAGGGAAGAGATGGTGGGCAAGGTTCAACGACAGTAATAAACAAAGAGAGAGAGACGTACTCTTTTGCCTCCTCAACATCTAATGCCTTTGATGTTCTTCAATCGTGTGATATGGGAGAGCTAGAGAATGGAGAAATAAGTCAAGAGTTGTTGTGTTAAATGAAGAGCCTAAAAAATAGAGAGAGTCTATCTCTAAGTGACCCTAGTGATGAGGAGACTTCAAAGGAGAATAACAGAAGAAAACTCAAAGCGAAACTTTATAACTTGAAGAATATTAGAGGGAAATTTTGAATTCTTTTTGTTGTGAATGCTGTGTTTGTCTTCTATAGGTTTAGTTTGTTATTTTTAATAGAGTAGTTTGTTTTTGTTTATTTTTATTCTCCCTATAAAAGATGTGTATTGAATTTCATTGTATATCTTTCTTTTTTTGTTATAATATGACTTAATTATCTCAAAAAAAATAAATTAAAAATAAAATAAAAATATCGTCGAGTACTTTATACTTGGAAAAAATAACGTTAATCACATATCGGTAACCCCTTGATCAGAATATATTTTTGTCAATAATAAATATGATTTTAAAAATAAATTGTTAACAAAAATATATTCCAACTAAAAGGCTATAGATATCCGCTATAGATATCGATCAATTTGATTTTTTGTAAGTATAAATTACTCGACAATCTCTACACATAGAATTATTTAAATTATCAAAACGAGACTCGTAATGAACTCTATAAGTTCAATAATACGTTCCAACCCACCATATAAATTGGAGAGAAGCCATCTCCATTGGCTTTTTAACTACAGTTAAACTTTAATTGCAATTAGATGTAAAACTTTATATTTGTTATTAATCTTTGATAAAAAAAAATATTAAAAATTAGAAAGAAAAAAAAAGGAAAAAGAAAAAAAAGACTTAAATAGAAAACTAACCGGAATTGCTTGGTATGAGGTAATTTTTGCTTCTTCTTCTCGTCACCTTCACTCACAACATCATCCACATTAAACAGCAACGACGAGTCCGACGGCAGCTCCAAATGCCTCCTCCTCCACGCCACCACGAACGCAACGGCAATTTGGGTCAACGGACTCCCCACCAGTTTCTTAAACCGGTACCACCTCGTACCGTAGAGAAAAACCACCAATCCGATCACAATTGCACACACACAAATCCCATAACCCCATTGCCTCCCCAAATTGTCCTGTATGTAGACAAGCACTGTCACAGCAGCAAGTGATCCAATGCTTATGAAGAAGAAGAACCAGTTGAAGAAATTGCTCATTTGGGTTCTCTCTTCTTTGTCAGTGTCATCAAATTGGTCGGAACCGAACCCCGAAACACTCGATTTGAGGCCGCCGGTGCCCAGGGCGGTGAGATATAGAGCTCCGTAGAGGACCGTTAGCTGCGTGGCGGTGGCGGGGACGCATGATGGGCTGTTGAGAGTGCATTTGGGCGGTTGGAGGGTGGGGATTATGGTGGAGATTGTTAAGATTGCAACTCCCTAACCATCAAAACAGTTCATTAAAATTGTACATCTCAAGAAAACTATAATAGAATTTTTGAAAATGAAATATGTGGCTGAGATTCATTTTAAGCCATACTCACACTAATGTATTACATTTGTTTTAGGAATTTTTTTTTTTAGCAAGTTAAAAAATTTTAAATCGTTTTTGTTCAATAATACTTACAACTATTGAATTATATCAAAAATTCAATTATATTTTTATGATTTTAATGCTGTGTTTAGTTGGGGGATTTGGGGAGAGATTTGAAAAGGGAAAGGAAAAGGGAAAAGGTGTATGAAACTATATGAAATGAAAGTATATTTTTTTCACATTTCACTTACCTTTTCTATTTCCCCTCAAAATCTCTCATCAAATCCCTCAACTAAACACAACGTTCATAAGTGTTTTAGGAGAGTGGGATTGAAAGATTTGAGGATCAAAGATTCACGGCTATTCCTCAAATTGTGTGCTCCTTGACATTTTGATATCTAGATATTTTATTTGTGTTAATTTGAGAACCATACTGTATTAATTTAACCCAAGATTCAATTAAAGGCATGAGGAACTCACAGTAGCTTGAACAGAGACAAACATGATAATAGTTCGATACCTGCAAGAAATTTAATTCAATCCAACAAGCAATAAATATCTCAGCAATAACACAAATTATTAGCTGAGGAGTTAATTAACATCAAAGAAAGGAAAGGAAAAGAAGAGAATGAAGAAAGTAGTAGTTTTTACCTGCCAAGGAAAGTATCGGCAACGAAGCCGCCGAGAAGGCAGAGCATGAAAGAGGTGCCAAGGAAGTTGGTAACAGTGTTGGCTGAGTTAGCATTGCCCAAGTGCATCGTACCAGTCAAGTATGTCACCAAGTTCACCGCTATTCCAAGTGTGGTTAACCTCTCACATGCCTCAACCCCTGTATATACATGTTGTTTGTTTCTCAACAACACATAACTCAGACTCTACTAATTTTGAAGAATTGAGAGAGAGAGAGAGAGAGAGAGAGAGAGAGGGAGAGAGACCTAGAATCATGGCGGCACGGGTCCAACCACCGGTGGTGGATCTGTGGGCGGGGTGGCCTTTGAAGTCCCAGGCATCTGGGAGGGTCTTAGAGCCTTGTTGTGTTTCAGGGAGTGCCATTTGTTGCATAGGCTTCGGGGGTTATCAAACTTTACTAGTAGTTGGGTCGTATTGAATGAATGAAGAAAAAGGGGGCTAAACTGCCACAAAATTGAGCTATGGGCAATGTCCTTTTATAGACTCAGCAACGCACAAAATGTGCGTCCTTATTTGCATCAGCTTAAAAAAGTTACTTTTATATTATTATTATTATTATTTATTTATGAATTATTTACATCAAGTTCTCTTAATTATTAGTGATTGAAAAATACTATAAACCCCACTTTAAGTATCCTGAATTTATTCCGAATGAGTGTTGTGTGATTGAGATTGAATATGTATACTGTGAAAGTCATGTGTAGAATAAATCTCAACCATAAAATGAAAATTCTAGATAATTTTTGAGTAATTAGGTCTAGTTTATAGTATTACTGTTAACGATTAAATTTTACTTTATCATTTGTTAACTTATACATATTGACCCTCTCAACTATCAAAATTGTGCAGATATTTTTCACTTTCCATATAGTCTGGAGGGAGTCTAGTTGAGAGGGTTAATATGTACGAGTTCATAGATGAGGGGATAAAGTGATATTTACTAGTAGCTAAAAGGTCTTAATGTAATTAACCCTTTATTTATTAAATAGCATTAATTTTATTTTTACCTCATAAATTATTATATTTTTTTCTATTTCATCTCTAAATTATCAATTTCCTCTATTTAGTTCTTAAAATTTTGAGTCTAATTGGAGACGATTATATAAAATTTTCGTTAGCCACTATTTTTTGACGACCTCATTTAGATCTACATCAATGTAGTTGTTCAGATTGTAAAATTGACACTAAATGACTTTAAATAATGGTGATTCTTCGCTCTGTCTCACTCACTCTCTCTCTCTCTCTCTTAAACCAGATCTATTGCAAACTAGATCAAACTCAAATTTATATTTTAGTAATAAATTTGTTAGTCTCTCTTGTCCTTTGTGTATGTGGAAGAGGATGGTAGATTCTTATAAGTGAGTGAGTGAATATGAGTAAGAATGACAGATATTAATGAATAAATTCACAATAATAAATTTATCAGTCTTATTTTTCTTCTTTTTGTGCGTGTGTGCATGTGTGTGTGTGTGTGTTCAAGTACATAGGTGTGTTTCTGTGAATGAATAAGTGAGTGAGTATATATGTATGTGAGTGTGAGTGTAAGAGTGAAATGTAATAATTGATTAAGTGGTATGAAAAAAATTAAGTGTTATCAGTGATTATTTATTACTGATATTTATCATCTTCTTTTTGCTATTTCCTTTCTTTTGTCACCATAAGATCTGAGGAGATGGTGGAAGTGGTGACGTAGTAGAGAATGATATTGTTTTTTCCTTAAAAAAATGGTTAGATAATTGTCAAAAATCATTGCTGAAAAAATATTGTTGGAGGTCAGAAGTGGTAACTAGAGATTTGTTGACAGTCAAAAACGATGATTGGAGATGGTCACCGGTGATCGGAGCCGGCGACCAAACATGGTTGCTGGAGAAAGGGTGGACTCATTGCAAAAATTCAAGGGATACTTATGGGTTGTACATTGCTCTCGAGTCCATTTGGGATGAAGAATGAGAGGGTATTTTGGATATATTAATAGGTAAAAAGAGAAGTAAGGCTCATAAGTAAATAAGTTTAGTCAATAAGACGAATTCATACATACCCCTTGAATTTTTTACTCCAATGACTTGACAACAATCCATGAGGCCCAGTTCGATCCAATCATATAGGAATTGGGTTTTTTTTTTTTTTAGTATAATGTGGAATAGACCACTCAATTTTTTTAAGGATAAATTATCAACATGTCCTAATAATTAGAGTTAATTCCTATCAAATTTTATTGAAAATAAGTACTAATAAAATTATCACTAAAAATAGTTTTTTGTAACAATTTTTTACATGTCGCTAAAAATTGATAATTCGTAAATTTTTTTTTTTGTTATGGTTTTATAAATTGTCGCTAAAACATACAATTATTTTCTTTTTCTGTGACAATTTTCAAATCGTCGCTGAAAATTGAAAATTTGCGACATTTTTTGTGACAAATTTTTAAAATTGTCACTAAAACTTACAATTAGTGACATTTTTTGTGATAAAATTTTCAAACTATCATTGAAAATTAACAATTAGTAACATTTTTTAGTAGTATTGGATAAAAAACGCTATTAATTCTTAGAGAACCTATGTGATAATAAATCTATCTGTTAGGACCTAAAAGTAAGTTCTAAAAAAAAAGTAAAATCTTATTTCCTCCTAGCTCAAAAAAACAAAGTCAACCTCTTACTCTTATTTTTAATGATGATTTTATTAGGATTTATCTTTAATAAGACTTGATGAAAATTAAGTTTAATTATTAAGACGTATTGGTAATTTGTCCTTAAATCAACCTCCTAATCTTATCTCATCTACTAAGGACAAATCTGTTGAATACAAATGCAAAGAAAGATACAGAGATATAATTAAGTCGGCATGAAAAAAAAGAAGTTTTGGTTTGGTTAGTAATGGCCATAGGATTCAGGTACCCTTTTTTTTTTTTTTTTTTTTTTCTTTTCGAGACCATTTAATTCTGTCAAATTTGAATTCAATGCATATGTATGAGAGAGAGAGAGAGAGAGAGAGAGAGAGAGATTCGTAGCACTCAGTATAGGAGGATATCGGCTTCCCATATCGGAAGTTTGGGTGTGTGTGTGTGGTGTTATAAGGGTCACGTAGGACCTCCCCACTCAGCAATTGCCTAGGTGAGGTTTCTTTGTGGGGTCTCACCTTGTTTTCTCCTCACTCAAAAAGTAACAGAGGATATTTTATTTAAAAAAGTAACATATAAGTTTATTTTGTAAATTTATTTTTTAAACCGAATGATATGTAAGAGAGATTATTCTCCAATAATTTAAGAAGATATGAGAGAAAAAATTATCCTAATTAATTACAATATCATTAAATTTGAAAATTAAAACTAACTTCTAAATTTAAATAACAATGCTCATCCTATCACATAGACCTCACCTTCACTTTTGTATTGTAGCAATCGGAAAAAAACGAACAGAGTACTACCATACAAAAATGTAGCATTCTGTCCGTTAACATCATGCTCATGGTTGTCGCATAGATATTTTAATTATTTTTTTGGACGGGAGAGTGTGGCATTGTGTCATGTTTCTAAAATGGGTTATTAGGCACAACGAACAAAAATAATATAAAAATAAAATATAAGATTTTAAAATACTTTTTATTAATTTCAATATATTTTTTAATATAAATTTTAATAATAAACAATGGTCTAATACAATTGTTAACATTTGTTTTAAAAAATAGTTATTTATGATAATTGAGGACATCACAATAATTTTTCCACAAAAACATTATTCATCACTCTGTTTAGACAGTATAGCCAAGTTACTTTCCAGTTTTCCTTATGGCCAACCTCTGTCTTTTTGTGTTGCTCACTATTGTTAATAAGATTTATTTATTTAAATTTTTTTTTGGCGCTTACATGTAAATCCTAATAGATGAATTTATTGTCTAATAGATTTTGTGAAAATTAATGACATTTTTCATTAAACACTATTAAAAAATGTCAATAATTGATAATTTTCAGCGACAGTTTGAAAATTTTGTCACAAAAAATGTCACTAATTATAAATTTTTGTAACAATTTAAAAAAATTGTCACAAACAAATTACTAATTTTCAACTTTCAACAATGGTTTGAAAAATTTATCACAGAAAAACGTCACTAATTGTAAGTGTTAGCGACAATTTATAAAAATCATGACAAAAAAATTACTAATTGTCAATTTTTAGCGATATGCAAAAATATAGTTACAAAAAATTATTTTTAGCGACAATTTTACTAGTATTTTTTTTCAATAGGACTTTATGGGAATTAAATCAAACTATTAAAACCTATTGGTAGATTACTCTAGACACATCATTTTGAGCGGCCCTAAGACTTGGACACTTTCTTTTGATTACCTGATGATAAAAATAAGAATGTGTTCCCCACAAAATTCTCAATAAGAAAGATGGAATTCTAACTTTCTTCCTAACCCTAAACCTGTTTTGGCCAAGTGTTTAAGCCTCGTTCAAAACCCTCTTTCGAGACTTTCTTTTCGCACCTTGTTCCGAGTATTTCTGCAGTGTTCCAAGACTCAATTTTGTACTTCAAAATGAAACATTTTCTAAAGGAAATTGAGCAAGGGACAGTGTGGAAATAGGAGGAAATGATGACAATTCTATCGAAAAATTCTGTTTCGTGCATAATAGTCAAGCCATGGCCAACATTTTGGTCTGCCAGCCAATTAATTGGCCGACCAGTCAACTTTTTGGCCGGCCAGCCAACTAGTTGACCGGTTAGCTAAGGAATTGGCCGGCCAACTAATTTATCCAGAAACTGAGCATTTTCCGCATAATTCTTATTTAGTGCGTGTGGGTCATTCCACTATCCCATGTTTTGAGCCACCTATGCACGAAATGCAAATACACTCTATCTCCACCATCAATATAGTTGGCCTCTTCACAAAACAAATGGCTAGAGCATGGCTAAAGGCTTTATCCTTGTCACCCCATGATCCATGGCCTTCCACCTTCTTCTCCACTAAGTCCTCTGCCATTGCCTATACAAACAAGATCAGATTATTGGAGTAAGGGCTGAGATTGTAGTTGAGAGAGAATTTTGAGCATTGAAAGAAACTTCCCTAACAGCGAGAATACTTGGCCAAAATTGTGAAACTTCCATACATTGTTTCACATCACCAACATATTGTTGTCTTGTCTTCCATTTTAAAAAATTAGCAAAAGTACATCATTGTAATCAGACTATAAAGCTTTGAAAATAGAAAGAATGATTATCGATTGAAAGTGAGAATCAGAGAGTTAATCAATTCCCCCTACACAGACTATTGAACAACCCGATAAACACCATTTCTAGCAAGAATTCCGGATTTTCGAATTGAGGATTGGGAACATGTTTCATACACTTGGGGATGACAAATAGAGAGTTTGGAAATCAAGAAGTTCATCATTCCTTTGAAAGGTGAAATTTCAATTTCTTTCATTTTCTTGTGCTTTTCTTTCTTATATTGATCTTCTTGC